TCATGTATAGAAGAGAGGGCTGCAGCTAGCTGTGTGCTGAAATGCCTGCTTCTATACAACCATTAAGGAGTGGGTTAAAGCGCTGAGCTGCCAAACTTGTTGGCCGAAAGGTCACAGGTTCAAATCCGGGGAGCAATGTGAGCTCCCGCTATTAGCCCCAGCTTCTGCCAACCTAGCAGTTCAAAAACATGTAAATGTGAGTAAATCAATAGGTACCACTCCGGCAGGAAAGTAACAGGACTTCATGAAGGCATGCTAACCACATGACTTTGGAGGTATCTATGGACAATGGTGGCTCTTCGGCTTAGAAATGGAGATGAGCACTAACCCCCAGAGTTGGACACAACTGGACTTCATGTCAGGGGAAAACCTTTACCTTTACCTATACAAGCATTAGAGGTAAAAGCGTTCCCTCTGGTTTTCATTCTGTCAACCCTATCTGTCCCAGACCAGGTGCTCTTTCTTCTAGGGCTGTTGGCTTGTTTGTTCCCCACTAATAAATCTCCATGCAGTTGTGCTCTCTAAGTATAACAACAATGCTCAATAAAACAGTCATTATTAAACAATGCAGCCACTACAAGTGGGCTGGGTGAAATAGAAATCAATGTTTTCTCTCCTTGCCACTGTGCTCCTCTTGAATTCACGTTAGCCTTGTTTGCTCACAGCGAAGGGAAGAGAATAGCTTATTCAAGGGTGAGGGGGTGATGCCCACCTCCCTTTCCCTGCCCATTTGCGCTCCTCCCATTTTCTGACATCTCCCGGCTTCTCCTCCAAAGTGCCACGCAGCAGCCCAGCATGGGAGGCAAGGAGAGGGCTGGGATCCCATAAACCAATCGTCGCTGCCTTGGAGCAACACCTCCAAAGGGAGAGACCAATGAGAGCTGGGCCAAGGGGAAAGCCTGCTTGAATTACCCAAGACAGCTAGTACTTGTTTCTATGCTTCCACAGAAATCGATTGAGGGGCATTGGCTAGCCTAGTGGAAAATATATAATTTAGAGATGGGCAGAAACTACATGTAGAAGTGCTAGTGGCTCTGGATTTGCTCGCAATCAGACAGTGATTATGACTACACTGTGTAACACGATTTTTTATTCCTGAGTTATAAATGCCATTTCCTAATCGGTTCTATCACAAAAACATGGAAAAGTTTATTAAACTGTGAAAACTTTGTATTGTCGAAGGCTTTAATGGCTGGAATCACTGGGTTGTTGTAGGTTTTTCGGGCTCTATGGCCATGTTCTAGAAGTATTCTCTCCTGGTGTTTTGCCTGCATCTATGGCAAGCATCCTCAGAGGATGTGAAAACTTTGCTTTTGTGGGACATCTTGCAGCATATTTTGCAATAGTTCTTCAACAACTATCTCATAGAATCTCAGCCAATTCAACATAGTTTGTGGCAGTCACAAAATCTAAGTTTTTGGGGTGTAATAATTAATTTCAAATTAAGTACCACACAATTAAACATGAAATAACATTTTCAAACTAGGAACAGAAACAAAATTCAAATTGTGTTACATAGTGTAATCAAAGGATGAACAAGAGCCATAACACACACACACTCTCTCTCTCTCTCAAATGAGGCTGACGAAATCAAGAAAAGTTATGTAGAAAATGAGATCTTTAAGAACTTAGGACCACAACTCCCAGAATCCTGAGTCAAGATGGCCAGTGGGTTACAGCTAACAAAAAGAGTTGGTGACCATGTTGGATAGGGAATTTCGGGGATTGTCATCCAAAGCAGTTAGCTCAGAGCAGGAGTAAGATGCGTGTTTGTTTGTGTGCATATAACCCCAGTCCTAGGAACAAGAAAAAAAAATGACCAGGTGACCATGTTGAAAGGCACCTTGTTCCTCAACTCTGCCTTCCTCCCAGAGTATCTTTGATTTTACCTGCCTCTACATTCATTGCTACTTATCTTGTGTTATATAATGTTATCGCTGATTAGATAAAAGGAACAAATGGCTGGGTAATAAAAATCAGGTTTTATGTTTCTAGATCTCTTGATAGGTTACTGTGGTTTCTAAGAAATGTTGAGTCTGTTGCAATATCTTTGACAAATAATGGATTCCCCCCTCCCCCCATTTCAGTCCTCCATTTTTCATTTGGAACCGTCTCTTTACCAATCTCTGATAACAATCTCAGTTTGCAAGCTTGCCTTCATGTTTAGATTGAGCACTAGTTCAAACCTGTATGCATGCACCTGTTAGCATTTTTAGAAAGAGATACCACCATCTAGTAAAAATACTTTAGCTGGGTGTGTTTAAAAATTAAGTTTTTATTTTCTGGGTGTGCATTTTGAAATGAATACAGCTGACCCTCCATCTCCACAGGTTCTGTATCCACAAATTCAACCAACCACAGCTCTAATAGATATATAAAAATCCTAAAAGTAACTCTAGATTTTTGCTGCATACTGAGCCCTACACTGATTTATAGGCATACCCTGCCCTTTCACAGATACTCAAGCTCTCTCCAGCAGTCCTTCACCATTTTATGGAAGTGACACTATTTTACTATGCCATGGAGCCCCTGGTGGTGCAGTGGGTTAAACCGCTGAGCTGCTGAGCTTGTTGATTGAAAGGTCACAGGTTCGAATCCGGGGAGCAGTGTGAGCTTTCTCTGTCAGCCCCAGCTTCTGCCAACCTAGCAGTTCGAAAGCATCAAATGTGAGTAGATCAATAGGTACTGCTCCGGTGGAAAGGTAATGGTGCTCCATGAAGTCATGCCGGCCACATGACCTTGGAGGTGTCTACAGACAACGCTGGCTCTTTGGCTTAGAAATGGAGATGAACACCAACCCCCAGAGTCGGACACATCTGGATAATGTCAGGGAAAAACCTTTACTATAGATAATTGGACTGGAGCATTCATGGGTTTGGGTATCCATGAGACCAAAGCCCAGCAGATACCAAGGGGCCATTGTATCCTTTTACCACTTGTTTTCTTATCCAGACTTTCCATGGGGATAATCATGGTAGCTTGTCATTCAAACAACAACAACAAATAGTTTGTGATGCCTTAAAAGACTAAAGAGTTTTATTTGATGTATTTTTATGAACTGCTGTGCATTTCATCAAATGAATTTTTTCTTATACTATGTTTCCTAATCTTGGATTAGGCAAGGGATTCTGTTGAAGTCCTGGGCGATCTCTGGAATGGGGAAATGACCATGGCAGCAGACACAATTGCTCCAAATGATCCCTTCTCACAAAGTAGAGCTAAATCATCCCCTGGTTTACTAAGGAGCTGGCAGCAATTAAATGAGCAAGATGAAGACTGGAGTAAGAGTGGCTGAAAAGGTCCATCTGAAGTACTATTGTGGAGTAATAAAGCAGGAAAAATGCATTTTTCACCAATACCATGGCTTTGGCATGGAACCAATCAGTAGAGCTGTTTCGTGTGATTACGGCTCTAGTATAGTGGTTCTCAACCTATGGGTCCCCAGATGTTTTGGTCTTCAACTCCCAGAAATCCTACCAGCCGGTAAACTGGCTGGGAGAACCACTATTTTATAGTATAATCCAAACTAAAAGAGAATGTAACTCATGCAAGAACCTATGATTTTGCAAATATGATCACTCAGATTCCCTCTGACTTAGATGCTACAGTTGACAGCTCTGGTAGATATAACCTCGACTCCTTCTTGTCTAGTGTTGATGGATGCTTTTCAATTTCTGCAGCTTTACAAAGGTGAGGGCCTCCACATGTTCTCTAAACCCCTACCCTTCCTGGCTCATAAAACAGGCCAGAGGGGGACTGGTGGAGTGAGTCAGGGAAGTGATTAATGCATCGTTACATGCATCAAGGAGTCTGTGATAAGACCTTTTCCTTGGACCCTATTGTACTTGACAACAACAGACCAATCTCCTAGGCAAGGTAGTGGAGAGTGTGTTAGCTTCTCAACTCCAAGAATTCCTGAGTGAGATAGATTATCTAGATCAGGCACGTGCAAACTTCAGCCCTCCAGGTGTTTTGGACTTCAGCTCTCACAATTCAGGCTGCTTGCCAGTAGGCTGTTAGGAATTGTGGGAGTTGAAGTCCAAAACTCCTGGAGGGCTAGAGTTTGCCCATTCCTTATCTTCATCAATTTCAGTCTGATTTCAGGCCTGGTTATAGACAGAGACAGATTTGGTTGCCTTGGTGAATGACCTACGCAGAGAACTGCTGGCTCTGCTGGACCTTTTGGTGGCTTTTGATACCATTATCCATTGTATCCTTCTGAGTCGCATTTCTGGAACAGGGCTTTGAGGTGTTGTTCCTCAGTTGCTCTGAATGGGCTGTTTTGGTGCAATGAGTTGAACTGCTGATCTGAAGGTTGGCAATTCAAATCCATGGGATGGGGTGAACTCTCCCTGTTGCCCTAGCTCCTGGCTAACTCCTTCCAACCTATGAGTAGATAAATAGTTACCACTTTGGGGGGAAGGCATAAGATGCTCCATGCAGTCACGCCAGTCACACAACCATGAGGTGACAATGCAGGCTCCTCACCTTGGAAATGGAGAACAGCACCTGCCCTTGAGCCAGAGATGAGCACCGTCACCAAAGCCAGAAATGAAAGGAGAAGCCTTTGATGTGTTTGTGTGTCTCCTTGTATTGTAACAAGGCATTGAATATTTGCGGTATCTGTTTACACTGTAATCCTCTCTGAGTCCCCACAGGAAGGAGGGTGGAATATGAATAAAGTGTTGTTGGTATTATTATTATTCTGGTGGGATGGTTTTAGAAAGTGGTGCTGGTCGATTCCTGTTCAGTTCCTTGGCCACAGGCTTGTGGAGTTTCTCAGGGTTCAGTTCAGTCCTGTCCCCTATGCTACTGAATATCTAAGTGAAGCCGCTGGGAGAAGTCATCCAGAGTTTCGGGATAGAGAATAGGTGTCCCAAAATCAAGCAGAAGTCATCCTTCGAAGAGGCCCTTTTAGAGTTCTGCTTGTTAAAATATTAGATTATTTTAAGGTCTGTGTTGATATTTTTTAATGAACATCTCTTTTTTTACTGTTTCAGATACACAAGAAATCTTGTGGATAAAGGAAATGGAAAGTTCAATCTCATGATCCTATGCTGGGGGGAAGGCCATGGCAGGTAGGTGGCTTCGAATGGATAGATAAACAGACATGTCATACTGTGGGGAATGTAAATCTTCTCTGTCAGAACAAGCTGCTTGTAGAGCCATTTGGTGACTTCCTTCTTTGTGCTTTCTTACAATGGAGACAGGTTTTTCATTGTTCTAGACACTCAGGGTTTTGACTGAAGAGACACTGTGTTTTCCCTGCCTCTGTGGCAGCACTTGCAAAGGTCCTCTTCCTTTCACTTTTTCTAATATGCAGTGATTTCAGATCCCTACATATTTTCTCCAAGAATCCCCAGACAGTCTACAGCAGGGGTCCTCAAACTATGGCCCGAGGGCCGGATACGGTCCTCCAATGTCATTTACCCAGCCCTTGCTCAGGGTCAACCTAAGTCTGAAATGACTTGAAAGCACACAACAACAACAACAACAATCCTATCTCATTAGCCAAAAGCAGGCCCACACTTCCCACTGAAATACTAATAAGTTTATATTTGTTAAAATTATTCTTCATTTTAATTATTGTATTGTTTTTAAGTGTTTTTTGCACTACAAATAAGATACGTGCAGTGTGCATAGGAATTCATTCATGTCTTTTGCAAATTCTAATCTGGCCCTCCAACACTTTGAGGGACTGTGACCTGGCCCTCTGCTTAAAAAGTTTGAAAACCCCTTCTCTACAGAATGTATCACTGATATTGTTTTCAGTAGCCACTCCACTGCAGCTGTGGAGGTGGGGACTACGTCCAGAAACAACTGTAGTAGCCCTTTGAGAGAAAATATCCATATATTGATAATAATCCTGCTGTTGACACAGATAACTACTGTGACTTTCTCTAACATGATACTTAAAGGCCCTAGGCCCTAGACTACAACTGAAAAAAACCCATATTCTGCTGCTTAGTCCCTACATTGATGAGAAGCAATAAAGTAAAGTTGCTCCTTTACTTTGAGATTTATAATTAGCTCAGTATTTAGTGAGAGCCCCCGGTAGGGCAGTGAGTTAGACCCTTGTGCCAGTAGGACTGAAGACTGACAGGTCAGAGGTTCGAATCTGGAGAGAGCACAGATGAGTTCCCTCTGTCACCTCCAGCTCATGAGAGAAGCCCCCCACAAGGATGGTAAAACATCAAAATATCCAGGCATCCGTGGGCAGTGTCCTTGCAGATGGCCAATTCTCTCACATTAGAAGTGACTTGCAGTTTCTCAAGTCACTCCTGACATGGAAAAAAAGTACTCAGTGACTAATTTGGGTCTTGGACCTAAATCTCACGCTCTAACAGTCGCAATTTGGCAAGAACAATACCAGTTAAGATGCTGTCATCCCACTTTTTCAACCACTTTTAAAATGTCTCAGTTTGGTTTCCCCTTCCCATTTTTTCTCTTTGTCCATAGCTTTCTCAAATTACTGCAAACTGAGTTCAAAAGTATAAAAGAGTTTTGCATTCCATTAAGTCATGGTGTGGAGAGGACAGGGGTGGTTCAAGCAAAATTCAATTGCTGCATCCTCTCTTAGCTTGTGTGTGCTTTCTCAACCAAAATCTTTGCCATCTCAACCAGTACCTGATGTTGCTTGGCCACTTGTGTCCCAGCATTTATTGTTAAACATTAGTGGATATGCACCAATGTGCTCAGCAGTGATTTGTGGAAAGAACTGGAAGATCTAAAAGACTTCAATATTGGCAGTGATAAAGACATCAGTGTCAAAATACCACTAGCCTTTGTTCTAATATTAGCTTCTTTGTTGCTGGAATCATTAATCTTCTACGAATGAAAAGGTTCATGCCCAAGGGACCTTCATGTCTATAGTACTTTTAGTGCTACAAAGCTGCATGGGTTATCCATTTAATACCAACCACTGATTGTGGTTTTACTAGAAACAGATATTTTTCAATTAATTTGTAATATATTATTTTTATTATTTATTTACTGACTCAGTTGGTTTGTTACTAATCTGTTTTATAGCCAGGTTCTACATCCCTCACCTCCCCAATTTCTTGTTGTTATCTGAATTATGGGGAGGTAGAGATCAATGGCTCATTCCCATGATGGTTTAATGCATTTTCTCAAAATGTGGTCCTCCAGATGTTTTGAACTTCAGCTCCCAAAATCCTAACAGCTGATAAGATGGTTGGGATTTCTGGGAGCTGAAGTCCAAAACACCTGGAGAAGCACAGCTTGAAAAACACTGGTTTAATGTTACAGCCAAACCTGGGTATTGACTATTTCCCTTCAATTTCTTTTTTCTTGGTTGATAACTTAGACCAGTGGTTCTCAACCTGGGGTCCCCAGATGTTTTTGGTCTTCAACTCCCAGAAATCCTAACGGCTGGTAAACTGGCTGGGATTTCTGGGAGTTGTAGGCCAAAAACATCTGGGGACCCCAGGTTGAGAACCACTGACTTAGACTGATAATAATAAGAGAGAGCTTATAGTATTTATTTATTATTTATTTACCATATTTGTATCCCACCCTTCTCAACCCCAAGAGGAACTCAGAGCAGCCTCACATATTGGCAACAATTCAATGACTTAAAATAACATATAATTGGCAAACATCTACATTAAAAAGCAGAGAGTTAAAACATCTAAAAACAATTACATCGATTATTAAAATCACCTAATCCAAAATCATAATCCAGGGCCATTCTGAATGTCATTGCATAGATTCTATGCACTGCAGTTATGCTCCAAAATCTTGGTTCCAAAGTCATGTTTTAACTCTCTTTCTGAAGGCTAGAAGGGGAGAAGCTGATCCAATATCATTGGGGAGGGAGTTCCATAGTTAAGGGGCTACCACTGAGAAGGCCCTGTCTCTCGTCCCTGCCAATCACACCTGTGAACCTTCCTAGAAGATCTTAATCTCTGCGTACATACATCATGAATCCGGCACACCCAAACCTAAGCATGGATGCTTAATATTTGCTACAGATGTGCCTCTCAAGATTATGGATTTTTTTTTTCCAAAAAGAGATTAATGAATTTTACTTAATCATTTTCTGTTTGGAGCCTGAAATGCTCAATTCTCTGATCCCACTCTATAGAGAAAGCTAGAGGTCCAGGAGATTCATTTCTCCACAGAATTTTGAACAATTCTAGTTGCCACTCTTTTCTCTAGGACCTACCATTTTTTTCAAACAGTCCAGAAAGAGACAGAACATTTCCAAGAAGAAGGAAAGCCTGGACTAGTTTGGGGAAGTATGCAGGGGGAATATGGAGAAAGAGTGCAGAAAGAGTAGAAGGAGGGAGAGAGAATGAGGGAGGGAGGGAGGGAACAAAAGGGGGATGGGTACTAAGAGGATCTAAAATGGTATTTCTTCTAGTTAAAAATAAAAGACCATTGTCTGTTTAAATTTGTTGCACAAGCAGAAACAAATAGCCAACAATTCAGCTGATTCTGAAGGGAGAAGTGACAAAGTAGCATTCATTTCCTACTCCCAAACTCTGACGTGCCTATTTTCCATTGAAACTGAGCAAACAATTTTTAATCTAACCTTTCCAATTTGTATCAAAAGTGATAGATAAGCTTTTGCACATTGTTTTCTTTTTAGAGTCTTAGAAGACAAGAAAAGCACATTTTACCATCAGTCAGTATTTTTAAATAGAAATTAAGCTCAGTTGGGAGGGATAGCTAATACTCAAGAAGAGAGAAGCAGAATTCAAAACGATCTTAACAGATTAGAGAGATGGGCCAAAACTAGCAAAATGAAGTTCAGCAGTGACAAATGCCAGATACTTCACTTAGGCAGAAAAAAAGGAAATGCAAAGATACAGAATGGGGGATGCCTGGCTCGACAGCAGTATGTGCGAAAAAGATCTTGGAGTCCTCGAGGACAGGAAGATGAACATGAGCCAACAATGTGATGTGGCAGCTAAAAAGCCAATGGGATTTTGGCCTGCATAAATAGAGGTGTAGTGTCTAGATCCAGGGAAGTCATGCTACCCCTCTATTCTACTTTGGTCAGACCACACATAGAATCACACTCTGTCCAATTCTGGGCACCGCAATTGAAGGGAGATGTTGATAAGCTGGAATGTGTCCAGAAGAGGCTGATTAAGCTGATCAAGGGTCTGAGGACAAGCTCTGTGAGGAGCAGCTCAAAGAGCTGGGCATGTTTTGCCTGCAGAAGGGAGGACTAAGAAGAGGCGGCTCAACCCATTACGCAAAGTAAGCATTTGCAGTATAGTTGATTTTGCCCAAGGGCACTCTTGAGGCGCTCTTTAGGGGAAAATAGACCTCGACATATGCGAGTTGTAGTTACTGTGATGTATWGTTCACCTACAATCAAATAGCATTCTGAACTCCACCAATGATGGAATTGAACCAAATATGGCACACAGAACTCCCACGATGAACAGAAAATATATATCAGTGATTGGGTTTTTTTTGGGGGGGGGGCTCCAAAATCAGTGATTGGTTTTGGGGAGGGGTGCCCAATTACCTAGGGCTGCCTCTGGACATGATGACCATGTTTCAATATGTGAGGGGAAGTCATAAGGAGGAGGGAGCAAGCTTGTTTTCTGCTGCCCTGGAGACTAGGACACAGAACAATGGCTTCAAACTACAGGAAAGGAGATTCCACCTAAACATTAGGAAGAACTTCCTAACTGTGAGAACTCTCTGCCCCGGAGTGCGGCGGAGGTTTGTTTATTGGAGGCTTTTAAACAGAAGCTGAATGGCCATCTGTCGGGGGTGCTTTGAATGCAATTTTCTTGCATCTTGGCAGAGGGTTGTACTGGATGGCCCACGAGGTCTCTTCCAATTCTATGATATTATGAACTGAGATCATTACAGGAATTTGAAGACAAAGCAGGTTTTAAGATCTGTATGTATGTATCTTGCAGATTCAACCAGTACTCTGAGACAACAGCAGTTGGTGGGTTCAAAGTCAGTGAAGCAGTGCATGCAGCAAGCAAACCAGGTTTTGGTCCTGGTTTGCTATCCTGTATACTGAACCCTGCCTAACTTATTTTGAAGACAGGTTTTAGCACCTTGGATAGTTCCTTTAAAATTGGAAGCAAAATGTGAAAAAGCTGGACTTTGAATCCACCAGCTGTTCACCTGCAAGGAATTCAAAATCTGCTATCATTCCTAGTTATGATTATTATGGACTAGTAATACAGCACCAGCAGCCACATCCCCATTCCTGTTAACATAATTCACTGCGCTCTTTTCCTTGAGGTGCAATTTTCTGCTAGTTTTTCAGGTCACTGATAGATATTTTGATCAAAATGGTCCAGCCCACGTTTGTCTTCTAGTCAGACACTTTTGGTGCTTATAAAATCATAATAATATTCACTGAATTTCTTGGACATGTGATAAGAGTGCATCCTTTTATTATATGGTGCATTTGTAGTACTATAAAGAAGTCTTCCCACCCTACTGACTTCCTCTATTTTTGTGTATGTCCATATATAGCAGCATCCACGATCACACAGACTCTCATTGCTTCATGAAGATCCTTCAAGGAAATCTCAAAGAAACATTATTTGCGTGGCCAGACAAAAAGGGGGTTGGAGAGATGCAGAAGAAGTCAGAAAGGGTTTTGAAGGAAAATCGGTGTGCCTACATTAATGGTAAGTCAAAGATTCCAAAGTTAATTTTACATGAAGGATTCTAATGCTTTTCAGTCCATTGCATTTAAAGTAAAAAATGTTCGAGGAGTGTTGGGTTTTTTAAAAGCCACATGGGGACATTTCTGTTAAGTTGTAGATGTAATTCTGTTTAACCTTCCTGCTTACCTAAAAGCCAATTCACTTCTTTGTTATGATTTAATTGCAAGGAAAAGTGATTCCATCTATATATTGGGAACAGGATCTAAATTGATATGAATTAATTTATTTACAGTATTTATATTCTGCTCTTTTCACCCCAAAGAAGACTCAGGGTGGATCACAGAACACATATACAGCACACATTCAATGCCGTTATATACTGACAGGACAGACACAACACATAGCTAGAGGTATATAGGCTTTTCCCATTTTCGGTGTCTTGGAGGTTTTGCTCGATTCCGGCCATGTGGGGTGCTGTCACTCCATTCACTGTGCTGAAGAGCCCTATTCACAGACTTCCTCCTTTTTGATAGAATTGCCAGCATTTTTGTGGTGTTTACTTATGGCGCCATTAAAATACCCCTCTGCTTTTAAAGTGGTGCCTATTTATCTACTCACAGCTGTTTTCAATCTGCTAGCTGGGCAGTGAGCTGGGCTGAAAGGTTGGGTGTTTATCCCTGATCCGGGCTTCGAACTGCCAATCTTTTGATTGGCAAGATTTATTGCAGCTAGTGGTTACCCTGCTGTGCTAAAGCCCGACCCAAAGTGAAGCTTCATTGTTACAAAAACAAAGCAGTGGTGCTTGTCAGTGGAAAAACTTCCAACCTTTGTCTCTCATGCCTCTTCTACACTGCCATATAAAATCCAGATTATCTGCTTTAAATTGGATTATATGGCAATGTAGACCCATATAATCCAGTTCAAAGCAGATGTGGACTATTTGCTTTGATAATCTTGATTATATGGCAGTGTAGAAGAAGCCTCAGTCAATTTCTATCTATTTATTTATAATTATGGATAGTTTATAGTGCTGCCTTTCCTGAATTTTCTAGTGACTATACTTTTCAAGCTTTCTAGTTATCCCTCTGCTTCATATGCGATTGCACCATATTACAATGGCACTTAAGGTGCCCTTAAGTGAACTTGGCTGAGTGTTTTTCATTTGCAGGGAAATCTTGTAAATTAGTTCATAAGAATACTCTTCCATCTATTTCCCTGAGGAAATAACTGAGAGTTCAATACTTGGCAAGCAGCTATCACTAGGAATTAGAACTTCTGCCATGTTTTCTTGCCTAGACACCCCAATTTGGAAAGGAATCAAAAAGAAAATGTGTGCACGCACATGAGCCTGAACCACGCTCCCCAGTTTAGACTAGGGAAGGAGTGGATAATCTTAGTTAGCTCAGAGAAAAATAATATTTAAAAATCAGGACAAAGAGGTTTTGTAAAATTGTGTTATTTTTCATGTTTTAAAGGAGGTGAGAGGCTCATAACACAAGCTGTGTGTTACCCACATTGGTCTAGTACAGTGGTTCCCAACCTTTTTTTGAAGAGGGACCACTTTGACCAGGGACCACTCTCCAATATTCGTACCAAAAGGGTTACGAATCAGTTTTTGGTCAACTTTAGTTCAGTTATTTGGGATGCTGATTCAGAAAATTCCATTAGATAGACCACATCTGCTCTAGTTTCTGATATAGAACATATGCCATCCACTCACCCACAGAAAACCATATTTAAGAATCCAGTGCCTCAAACCTTATTTTAGGTCTTGTGGCCAACCAGTAGGCTGCAGCCCACAGGTTGGGAACTACTGGTCTAGTGTAATGCATTGTTTGTGGGACTTCAAAAACAGTCCACAATATGTAGTGTTTAATTATATCTCTGCAGGATCATAAACAAAACATTTCATTTGTTTTGTGACCATATATTTTCAGTTGCATGCACTTCTAATTGATTTTTAGTTCCAATTAAAAGAAATTAGATTTAACTATTAAGACCTGCTTTCCCAGCCCAAGGAAGCATTCAAATGTGTTAGATTAAAATGCCCATCATCCTGAATGAGCAACCAGGCTAAAGAAGGATGTCTTATTGCCATGAAAATAGGTTACATGAAAAATCATGTACATTCACATGTGTGCATGTGTGTGTGTGTGTTACTCTTTGGAAATTAAGCATGTGTGAGTTGCTATGTTAGGACTAACCTAGACCCTGAGATTTCCAGGCCAAAGCCTAAGATCAAGTATATGTGATGTTACTGGACCCCAGTGAAGTCCCAAGGGCCAGCCCTTGGTGGTGGCATTAAGCATGGTATCTTAAACATTAATTACATCAACAAATGGGGGAAAATACACAATTCTCTTCACAACTTTAAGGCAGCATTTTCATCTTGAGATTCCTTTCTTTTCGCTTTAGCAGCAGCAAAGGCAAGCCAGGGGAAATGTTTACTTTTTTCCTACAAAAAAAAGCATCCTATGGGCAGTTTTGCCCTATTTAAAGCCCAAGATGTCTTTCTTCAAACAGGAAGTAACGTGCACTTTGTACCCATAATCTCTGCTTTTGTTTCTTGTATTCTGTAGACAGCATTGGCTTGCATCGAGTGGAGAACCCAAGCCATACTGAAACAGCTGTTAGTCTCCATTTGTACAGCCCACCTTTTGCATCCTGCTATACTTTTGACCAAAGAACTGGACACAAACAGAAAGTGAAAATGACCTTCTTTAGCCAATTTGGAGAAAGAACACCATATGTAAGTATCAGGATTTGTTATAGAAAGATATTTTTAATAGGCTTGCTGTAGCATATTATTAAAAATTAGCATCAGTGAACACTTCATAGAAGCTAAAAGAACTAAAATAAAAGACTCAAAAGAGTTACACAATGCACACATTTAAAAGTGGTTTAGGCCACAAAGGCTTTCATAAAATGTATGTTTTGATCTGGTGACAACAATAGATGAGCAATGGCACCAGTCAGGTCTCCAAGAAGAGGACATTCTTCAAGTGGGATGTCAGAGCTAAGAAGGCCACATAGTAGAGATAGTGTATGAGTGAACCAGCTTAAATTATGCATCATGCGAGCATCCATTCAACAGTTGCAGGAAGTTCCTTGCCCTTGTATTATATAAGATCTGAGTAGAATCTCTAACAGTGGTGCTGTCATTCTCTTGGGCCCTGAAATTGAAATATGTATTTCTTTGTCTTCAGTTTTCATCATTTGATGTTACTTCTACTGTATTACATCGTACAGTCATATCAAAACCTCTTTAAAACCCCTATCCTAAATAAATATTTAGCAACTCTTTCATGTTCCTGTCTTGAGTCTTAAGCCCATCAGAGACTATCAAATTTAGAAAGGACATTGGAAGAAATCTCACCTATCCATTCTGTTTAATGCAGAATTCTTTCCAGTGCATAAGACAATCAGACCATCCCTGATCAATGGCTGTCCAGTATGTGTTTAAATACCTTCAGTAATTGAAAATCCATTGCTTCTTCAGGAATTGTATTCTTCTATGTACTGTCGAAGGCCTTCATGGCCAAAATTACTGGGTTGCTGTGAGTTTTCTGGGCTGTATGGCCATGTTCCTGAAGAATAGAATCATTGAGTTGGAAGAGATCTCATGGGCCATCCAGTCCAACCCCCTACCAAGAAGCAGGAAAATCACCTTCAAAGCACCCCCAACAGAGTAGAAAAGGTAGAAACCCCTTTTTTGTAGTTTAAAGCCATTGCTCCACATCCTAGTCTCAAGGGCAGCAGAAAACAAACCATCTCCCTATGACTTCCCCTCGCATAGCATTCTCTCCTGATGTTTCACCCACATCTATGGCAGGCATCCTCAGAGGCTGCATTCTTTTTGTCAGACTACACAGAGAGGCCATTGAAATCCACAAGCATGTAGATAATTTCAACAGAAAGGAATATATTATGAAAATGAACAAAATCTGGCTATCAGTATTTTTAAAAACTCTAAAATCAGGACAGTAAATAAAGAGGAACACTAAAAAAACAGTGGTATTCCTGACATGAAACAATAAGGACCAGCTAACACCTCCCAACAGAGGATTCTCCCAGGCATGAAACAGCCAGATTTGAAGCTGCAAGGCCAATAAATGCTAATCAAGGTGACCAATTGCAACATTCATACTTGCCTCAAACAGACAAGAGTTCTTTCTCCCATCCTGGACATTGTTCCACAGATACATAAACCCCACTTGCCTAGTTTCCAACAGACCTCACAACTACTGAGGATGCCTGCCATAGATGTGGGTGAAATGTCAGGAGAGGATGCTTCTGGAACATGGCCATACCTCCCAGAAAACTTGCAGCTATGCACTGTATTCTTCTACTTTTCCTTTTGGGAGATTTCCTCCTTACAATGGTTAGCAGTTTATAAACCTGCAGTTTATACTTTCTTCGGTTCCCATATTCTTCTTTAGAGGTCCTTTCCTCTAGTCATTGAGATGGAATGATGGTAAATGGTGACAGAGACTTTAGTTTGCTTTTTTATATTAATTATCGAGCCTTTTGAATATTCTTTTGTTCTGAAATTCTTTCTTCATTATGCTGAGATTCCAATCTGTTCTGCTTTATTTTATTTTTTTTTATTTTGTTCTTCAGTAATAAGTAAACATCCAGCCATCCCCACATTCGGACAGTGTGTCAAAAAGTCTTGGAACACATGACCAACCATGATAACATTGTTAAGTTGGGAGCCATGAATATAATCTCCTTGTCCTTTTCTCACTTGCATAATCAGTTTAGATTTTGTACCACAGCTGTATTGGATATAATTGAAGCCTCCTGACAATAACTACACTTCTTTTTCTCTAGACAACATCAGTTTCACAAGAGAACAACTGAGAAGAGCCCAAGATCTGCAGAACTGTATTTGTTTGGAACAGAAGAATTGTACGGTTGGACCAAGTTGTGTCCGAATAATTTTTACCTAGGACTACAGTAGGAAAGCTTCGTGGTTACGTAGATTCCTCTTATTTCTTGGACACGAAAAGGGGCAATGTCATGGACAACTGCGGGATGGACATAACAATATAATTGGGGTTCCTTTGCCACCCCTTCTCAGTTCTGCATTTGAAAGTGTTCACACAAGTCCAGCTTTTAATATGACTTTCCTCTTAGCAGCCCCAGCTGTATGAATTATGCCAACCTGAACTAGTAATGTAAATGGTTAAACTCTGGTCAACATTAACTTGAATTTGTCAAGCTCAAAGATGGCCAGCCTGTGGACTTCCAGATATTGTTGGATTGCAGCTTCCATCAGGCCTAACCAGAATAGCCAATGGGGAAGAACAATGGAAATTGCAGTCCACTATTATTCCTCATTCTCTAGGGTCACATGTTACCCACTCCAGCCTAGAGCATAAGCTGCATCCTGTCAACAGCATTGTTTTATCATGAGTTTAATTACCTATTAGAAATTTTAAATCATTGATGTTTTTTTTTAATTTCATGTCAAAGTCTGGAATATTTTTTAAATGGGAACAATAATGAACGTCTTGTACAATGTTGTTTTTGTTCTGGAGAAAACAGTCTGTAAAAATTGTTAATGATGTTCAGTGTGGGGGAATCAGCATCTTGTTTTTAAAACCCACCCAACAACTTAATTAAACCTGAATTTTGGGCACAAATGTTAAACGGAGCATTTTTCTATTCAGTATAAGGGATAAATTTGGTCAATGGGAAATGCTATGTCAGGGTTGCCAGGTGCCTACCTTTAAAGTAAGGGGCGCCAGGAGGATGGACCTTCTAGGCAAGGACTTCTTGGGGTTGGAAGTTTCGGAGTCTCAGCCAATGAAGATGTGCCCAGACTGGCCGGTAGTGTGGCAGCACTTTTTCTTGGCAACTACTGCTGCCACCACTCTGGCATGCACTCACTACTGGACCAGGTACACACTTATTGACCTCACACTGGTGCCAAAGCCCACCCCAGCCTTCCGACCTGCCCTTTGATTGAATTGGAATTGTAATGCCTCTGGTCAATGTAATACGCAAGATCAGTTGTAATGCGCAAGGCCAACAGGGTAGAGGTGAGCCCCATTGGCCTTACACTGGGCCAGAACTCCCACCTTTCTAGCCTACCCTTTCAATCAAAGGGCGGGTTGAAAGAGTGGGGGTAGGCCTTGTTGCCAGTGCGATTGGCCCAAAGGAGTGTGTTGCTGGCACTGCTGCTGGGTAAGGGAGGTGGGGTGGGGGCAATACTACCTGAAATATGAAGAGCAAGGACACAGAACTTTGGCTTGAAAATAAGGGTAAAGGTAAAAGTTTCTCCTGACATTAAGTCTAGTTGTGTCCAACTCTGGAGGGTGGTGCTCATCTCCATTTCTAAGCCAAAGAGCCAGAGTTGTCCAGAGACACCTCATAGAATCATAGAATCAAAGAGTTGGAAGAGATCTCATGGGCCATCCAGTCCAACCCCCTGCCAAGAAGCAGGAATATTGCATTCAAATCACCCCTGACAGATGGCCATCCAGCCTCTGTTTAAAAAGCTTCCAAAGAAGGAGCCTCCACCACACTCCGGGGCAGAGAGTTCCACTGCTGAATGGCTCTCACAGTCAGGAAATTCTTCCTCATGTTCAGATGGAATCTCCTTTCTTGTAGTTTGAAGCCATTGTTTCATGTCCTAGTCTCCAGGGAAACAGAAAACAAGCTTGCTCCCTCCTCCCTGTGGCTTCCTCTCACATATTTATACATGGCTATCATATCTCCTCTCAGCCTTCTCTTCTTCAGGCTAAACATGCCCAGCTCCTTAAGCTGCTCCTCATAGGGCTTGTTCTCCAGACCCTTGATCATTTTAGTCACCCTCCTCTGGACACATTCCAAGGTCATGAAGCAACTATGACTGCATGGAGCACCATTGCCTTCCTGCTGAAGTGGTACCTGTTGATCTACTCACATTTGCATGTTTTCGAACTGCTAGGTTGGTAGAATCTGGGGCTAACAGCGGGAGCACACCCCACTACCTGGATTCAAACTGCTAACCTTTTGGTCAGCAAGTTCAGCAGCTCAGTGGTTTAACCCACTGTGTCACCGGGATGCCCTGAAATAAGGGACTATCCCTTAAAATATAGGATGCACGGCAACGCTGCATAGCAGTGGCCAATGGGAAGGAGACAGGAAATAAAATCAGTGAAATTAGACTTTCATTAAAACTGGGAAGCTGCCATCATATTCCAGTGAACAAGAATAGGACAACATTGCAACAAACAAAAAATGTGGAAAGTCTATATAGATAGAGTCTATATATTTACTTAGTGTGCTTCTCTCCCCCCGCCCCCCAGTTGTTGTAGTGCAAGCGCTCAGCTAACTAAAAGCAAATAGACCTGGTCACGTGTTCCTTATTTTGCCTCCCAAAGTAAGTGTTTGGGAATAATCCTTTCATGTGGAAGCAGCCCCTTCAGCTATGATTTCTGTCTTCATTTTCAAACAGAAAAATGTATTCTTGGTGTGTGCTTGAATGACAAGCTGTGACTGTAATTGGTTCTTAATACTTAATGACATCACCAGGGACTGTCCCTAGGTCTCCTGTTCTGGCCCCAGGGCTTGGAACAATTCTTAACTGGTATCCCTAGAGCAGCATTTCTCAAACTGTGCTCCTCCAGGTGTTTTGTATTTCAGCTCCCCAAAATCCCAGAATTGTGGGAGTTAAAGTCCAAAACATCTGGAGGAGCACAGTTTGAGAAACTCTGTTCTAAGTTTGTATATTGCCTTGAACTCATGGAAGGGAAGGCACAATATAATATAATTGAGAAAAGAAAACCCTGCCACAGAGAGAACAAAAGCCCTGTGAAAGATAGACCCTCTGGCAATTATTGTCACATGAAACATCCTAGGTTAATCTGAAGAGTTTAGATAACATCTGGGGGTATCTCCCCAGATGTCAACACATTGTATGTGAAGAGTTAATTAACTCCAGGAATGTCTTGCGCTATTGTGCCCCATAGGAGAGATCATCCTAAGGCTAGGAAAAACCCAGCTTTTTCTTTGGTATCTCTATCCTATACTTCCATTGTAGTTATTTTTATGGGGGTGGATGGAAGTGTAGATTTCTTACGTCTGTAACTTTCCACTAGGTACGGCTGGTGGAGATTACCACGAGAGGGGCTTCTCTAGCCCATGTAATGTTTGACTGGTGCTTGTTTGCTTTTCTCTAACCTGTTTCCATTCTCTAAGCAATGGCATGTGTGCAGGTGGAGAATGATTTGTATGCCCTTAGTCAGCAAACACAAAATACATAAGGAGATACTCTTAACATCCATCTCTTCTGCTTACCTCTTTTGTCCTTGGCAGTGGGTTGGGGAAACAGGATTACTCTGCCTGGAGCCTAGTGAAGTGCATTTCCTCCCCCTTAATACTAAAAGCTCCATCCAGAACAGCATGGATACATGCTGTACACACTGTTCTTTTTTGCTCACTCTTTTAAGTTATTTTTGTGCCTCTCCCCAAGCCTGGGAGAAAGCTGTTTGTTCTGCCAGGGTGTAACCCTTCCAAGGTTAGAGCATGTCGTCTGCTTGCGATTACCCTTTGGCATGAGATTTCTTTGTTTATTGCTTTTTTTTTGGGGGGGGGGGGGATAAAGACACTGACTAAAGCAAAGGTGGGCAGCTTCTATGGCTCCTCTTATTGTTGGATTACAACTCTCATTAATCAGAAGCAGGATAATGGTCAAGGACAGTGGGACTTGCAACCAAAAACATCTGGAGGACTATAATCTGGTGCCTACTCAATCCTGAAGAGTGAATATTTTGAAACTCAAAACAGGATGCAATTCTGCATCACCTTGCCACTGGGTGAGGCTGTTATATTGAGCACAATCATTCATGGCAAACATGCCAGAAACAATATACAGCATATTGTATATCCTTTGGGATATACAGGTATGCTGACATAAGATGTTTCATTGCCCTGCGTAATACTAGGCAGATTTATGATGTTGACTGTAAACAAGGGCATGAATTCTAGCAATGGCTGTTTTATTTTGAATATGTGGCTGTTTGTCTCCAATAGTTGTCACAGGCCACAAAGTGAACTGTATCCAAGAGACTGGAAAACTCTTTTTTTCCTATACTCTGATGATGCTTGACCATTGAGAAATAAACTCAAACATGCTTGCTCAAAAGTAAGTCCTACTGAGTTATGTGGTGTATACACCCATTAAGGTAAGCTGATTATAATAGGAATTCACAATAAGGGCAAGGATACAGCTACTGCAGGAGTGTATGTTTATGTGTTATTTATTTTTTTTGCAATGCTGCCCAAAATCTATGAGCCATGGGAAAGATGGAGGAGCTTGAAAGGGGCTCCTTTCTTTTAGTGCTGCCTTCTTTTAGCAACAGGGAAGTGAAAGGAACTGCACACAGCAAAACTACATTCATGGTGGCAGGTGGTAGGTAAAGGTAAAGGTTTTCCACTGACATTAAGTCCAGTCATGTCCCACTCTGGGGGTTGGTGCTCATCTCCATTTCTAAGCCGAAGAGCCGGTGTTGTCCATAGACACCTCCAAGGTCGTGGCCGGCGGGGCTGCATGGAGCGCCATTACAGGGCAGGTGGTAGAGAAAGAGAAATAATACATGTTTTGAGCTGCACTTCCTCTTTTTCTGAGTGTTGGAAGAGATGGCTAATATGTGGATGTACAAATGTCAGACAAGGAATTGTATACATGTCAGAAGACAGATCCCATTTTCCCTGACAACTGGATGAGTTGACTGAGTCTGACAAGAGTATTGGTGCAAAGAAGACCACAAGAACAGCTTGGCCTATAACTCTGGGAAGGTCCTATAGACTGTAATTTGCGAACTTCCATTCACAACTGGATACAGCTCGTGAGAGTGCAAGAAAAGGGAGACAGTGGAAATGGCATGTAGAAATAAAAACACTTGCGATAACTGCTCTTACATGGAAATAATAGTGAAATCGCATCAAAAAACCGTGAACCTATTCCTGTGATGCATGTAAACAGCGTTATACAGAGTGTAACTATTGTGTAAAGAGGGAAGGGTCTAGACCAGTGGTGCACAACCTGTGGTCCTCCAGATGTTTTGGACTTCAGCTCCCAGAATTCTTGATCATTGGATAAGTTGGCTAAGGCTTCTGAGAGTTGGGAGTCCCGAACATCTGGAGTGCCACAGGTTGTGCACCACTGGTCTAGACCAACCCCGACGACTGGGCAACTCCTGCCAAGAATCCTTTCCATCCAAAGTACATCATCAGTGTTCATTGTTGATTGTAAGGAGGAGGCTGTGGGAGAGTCCCCACATCCAATTCCAATTCCCTCCTTCATGGTAGGTGCACAGTTGTAAAATAAACTCACTCTCTGTTCAGGAGAGGACTGCTGTCTGTAATCATTAAATGCAATATGGTCAAACAAATCATTAGTAGAAAGCTCTGGAAATGAATCCAGAATGTTTCATTAGCAGTTTTGTTGTTAGGACTTATGTTCTTGATCTTGAGAATGTATAAAACAGTTTGGTAACTTGGTAAAGGGCAAAGAAATACACTTGGCTGGAGTTATATCTAACTAAAGTACTAATCTGCAAATATGTGTTTTGTATCTTTGTGCTTGGTTTGCTCATTGGCCAAGAGAACATCAGATAATACTTGCTGGCATAAACGTATGTTCTGTTGTCACACATAACCTT